CCAGGTCTGGTAAGAAAATAGGATCACTAAGCTGCGGTACCTTAAATATCTTTGAAAGAAGTCAACTGCAATGTGCTTTGTATTCTAAAGGATCAACTCCATCGAACAGTCTGTTTCGCGCAACTAGCAAGGGGTCAAGGTGGTCTCGGGAGGATCCCGTCAGGACGCGGAAGCGAGGTACGGACGGCAGAAACAGAAAAACCTGAATGCATTGGGTCCGAAGACGGCCAACATCCATAATCCTTGGACTCCAGCGGACAGAGCCTTGCGGTACTTCCCATGGCACGCCTACGTCCATTAATGCATAGTTTACCACCACAGAACCCATGGATGAAACAAATGTCTTTACAAACATTTGTAGGCTGTTTTCCTCAGGTAGTTTCCAACCATTCAGTTGAATGTCGCTGTCAGTGCAATTTGATTTATTCAACGTCTTGATTGTTTACATTGCTTGCCCCGGGAAAATTCAGGCTACAAACAGGAAGCCGTCCAGAAAATGACGGAATAAATTACATTATGGTATCCTGCGCATGTGATCGAACTTCTTGTGGATGTTCATGAACCATAAGTGATCCTTAGGTTGATGTGCCAGGCCGGCTCCCAGAGGCCATCGATACGGATGAAGTCAGTACGCCATCTACAACAAAGAACGATGCATCGGTCGCCCATTAGAACGAACATTTTTATGACCACCTACTGCCACTTAGTCGGATTATTAAACTGTATTAGAACGTTGGGCTGTTAACCATGATACCGTTAAGTCCTCGGGGATTCGCGACTACATATGTTCCCTCAAGTGCCACCGAGGTCATAGTCAGGAGGACCTGACACCGCCCGTATTGTACATGGATGGAGGTGCAGTCCTCCATCAGCATTTGTCTGATCCATTTGCCCCGTTCTGGAAACGAAGACTGTCCCAGACAACAGAGAGATCTCGGTAATAGTGCCCACCTTTATCAAAAGGAGCACATTGAGACTGTAGCAATCACGGGGAGGATCAGTTTGACTTGGAGATAACGGAACATTGGGCATCAAATGTTCTTTGTTCTCTCATGGTGACCCGTGAAGCGATGGCTTGAGAATAGTAAGCAGGATTCCGGAATAGCGCGGGCTGCGTTGCACACAAATTCACACTCCGCCAGCTACTAGAACAACGCCATTCACGCTTTTGGTATTCCTGGACCCTTCAGGCTTATTTCACTTTGTTGATTTTTGGTGCCTCACTGCCACGTCACCAGAAAGCACCAGAAGCACAAGGGCTGGAATACTGCTAGGTTGCCCAAGCCTAGGCAGAGGAAGTCGAGAGGCAGAGGCCGGGTTCGAACAACGGACCTTCCGGTCAGTAAATTCGCGCTCTAACCACTGAGCCATCTCTCCCCTGTGAATAAGGAGAATGAGGAAAAAAGAGTCTCGAGTAGAAGCTTATGGTCAAATTCGTGGAATGAAGACAAACGATTGTCCATGTCCGGTGTGAAGGCGATGGCTTTGATGCAAGACGGTCATGGATTGCGTGACAATCCATACCTGTCAGGATGACTAATCCTTGTTTTGTCTTGTCCCACAGTCCCCATTCGTTCGG